AAAACATGTTCTTTATCCGCCCACCTTTCTCCATCTCTCCTGCGACAATGAGTGTTCCCCACGAGCTGGTAAGTCTAATTCTCAGCATTTGTAGCCGAGGACCAATGGGAGTGAGGGAAGAGGAGCTGGAGAGGAAAACAAGGCAACCTCCCTCATGTTTCATATCCGCTTTAAGCCAGTTGTGGTTTTTCTGTTTTTCTCATTAGTTTGTATCTCGGCAGATGCCCGAATATGACAGTGTGACTGGGCCAGTCAGAAAAGTCTTACTGGCTGGAAAACGAAGGTAAGCCAGGCTGGACAATGACGGGATAAATCAAGCTTTAAAGATGGTGCCAATGGGTTTGAACAGAGTTCAGGGTTGCCTTCGCTTCAGCAGTGCTGACTCCGCGAAGGAGCAGGACAGAGGACATTCAGGAGACAAGGGGAAGTAGGTGGGCCAAGTGCCCTGGGGCCGCCTTCTTTCCTTGGGAAGGCACCTCTCAAGTTCAATGCACCCATCCCACAGGCGGTAAGGAAGCTGCAAGGCCAGAGAAGCTCGCACTTCAGGCCCGTTGCTTTTCCTCACTTCAGGCTGTGGGTGAGGCACGGGTCAGCATTCCAGAATTTACCTCCTGCCCTTTAAGGGATCACAGCTGGACCTTAGCTCTCTATATACAATCTCTAGAGCGGCCAAAGCTCTATATATACAATCAAGCTTTGCTTCTACTTTTGCCTTCATCATCCGGCCTGGTCACGGTCTGCTACAGAAATACGGGCATCTCTGTCATGACTCATCAGAAAGAGGCCCTCTGTGCTGTTTTGGAAAAGATATTCCATCATCCCTTACAGAGAAACAACACTTTGATGAGGCGGTTACGACATAACAAAATATAACTGTACCCAACTACAAATACATTTTTGATATAATTGAGGCATACTCTGTTTTCTTATGTTTTACTCCAAACACTCAGTGCATTTTATTTGATCACTGTGTATTTTACTGCGCATTTACTATGCACCAGGAAGTAGAAAATACGGGGCTTTAAAAATGAGTTCTTTAAGGAACTTACTGAAATTTTCCATAATGAAGTTCTTTTAATAATTTAACATTTAGGTAAGACATCAGCCACACTTTCTCTCGTACTTTGCTGCCTTTTTCTGTAATATCACACTATGTCAAAAGCAAGAAAATAAGTGCCTAGGTTTACCGAAGTGAATCAGATGCCTCCCAGGGACAGAGCACGAACTTCGGAAGGAGAAACCCAAGCCCGGGAGAGCTCTGCCCTGAGCCCACAGCTTTTATCACTCAGAACGGTTCAGCAAGGACGGGAAAATGGGAGAGACAGGGTATCAAGTCTGCCCAAGTAGAGGCAACATTGCTACAGGGAGGGTTTCCATTAGTGATTTAACCAAACTCCTACCTGTGGCTCTAAGGATTCCTGGAACTTAATGAGCCTGCTTAGCAAGAACACTGCCTACCAATACAATTTAAGCACTTCATAGTGTGTTACTTCATTTTTTTTTTTTTTAAATTAAGCAAAATTCGAGTCGGGTATACCCTGAAATTGCCAACGGCTGCCAAGTGAAAACACGGCCAGCAGCACAGCAGGATTTTAACTATCGAACTGCATCAAAGTTTCTCATTTCCATAATCAGCAGAGATTCAGCTTAACACCACAGGCAAGAGCTGCCTTCACACCGGCATCCATACATGGCCCCAGGCAGGCCGCCTGCCTTCTGCTCCCGAGTGCTGCGCTGCGGCCTAGCCTGTGAGCAAGTCCATAGACACCCTGAGGGCTCGCGTGTTATCTTTAAAATGCTCCAAAATTCATGTCATGTAATTGCGATGTAATAGACTTTCTAGAGCATTTTAGTATGATAGTAACCAACATTTACTGAGTATTAACTACTGGGCAGGCCCTGTGCTAACAATTTTACATAAATCATCTAAATTCTCAAAATAACAGGCACTTTTTCTATCCCTATTTTACAGTGAGGAAACTTCAGCTCAGAAAGTTAAGAAAGTGCCCCAAGGTTATAAAATCAATAAGTGGTAAAGATGGAATTCAGGACACACGGGTGTCTAATTATTCATCTCCAATACATATACTGCGCTGTTGTAAATCACTTCTCAGTTAAATTAGTTAACTCTACCTCCTCAATTATCTATGTCAAGGATCAGCAAACATCCTCTGTAAAGGGCTACACGGTAAAATTCCAGGCTTTGGGGACCACGTACGGTCTTTGCTAGTCACAACTCAGTTCGGCCACTGTGGCGAGGGAGGCCCACAGGCAGTCCATGCGTGAGCTGGCCGGGCTGTATTCCAGGAAAACTTTACCTGCTACAACAGGCGGCAGGCAGGCCTGGGCAACAGTCAGAGAGCCCTCGACAAGAGCAAAGTTCATGTTCCAGACAGATAGGCATATCTGCCCTGTGGCTTTGTGTAATCTCCTATTCTTCAGGAAGAATGGGTTAAAAGAAAATGATTTTTTAAAAAGGGAGAAGCCAATGCCGAAAGGCAAAGGATTTAATTTTCCCCTTCTATCCTTTACCAACAGCCTAATAACAGCAGAGAACCTGTGTGATGGCCCTGTGGTCGCTCAGCCGTGGTTTTCTGCCCCCACCGGCCTCAGGTATCCTCGCAGCCTCCGGCAGCCTGAACAGGCCGCAGCCAGTTTTCCCGTCGACTGTGACTCCCCACTTAGGTGGTTATGCCTTATCTTCCCACCTAACTGGAAACCTACCCCTAAAGCTCAGTGAATTTATCTTCTATATTTTTTATGGCTTATATCTATGCTTTTGTCCATGCTAGTTAATATGCCCCACTCTCTCTGTTAACTGACTCCGATCACTAACTCAAGAACTGCTTTACTGTGTTTCTGGTTCAAAATCCCTAGTCTCTTGATTCACCTCTAAACCACAGTTTCTGAACAGGTCAACTACACTACTATACTTGTGTATTTTGGTTCAACTGCTGTCTCACTTATTTCAAATACTACAACACTAACGCCATAAAAGAATTGAGGATCATTGTTACTTAAGAGCTTATTGTCACTGGATATAACCGGTGACTTGCCAAAGTAGTTAAGATTGATTTTAGTGATTCAGCCTTGTTTCCAGGTTCTGAATAATGAGAGAAAAGGGCAACCTTTAGTTTCATACAGGACTGGAAGGCAAAGATTATTCAGTCATGTAGCACTAATGATAACGTTGGGTATCAAAATCAATAGGCTGAGGTAGAATAAAAAAATCACAGGGACACTAAAATGTCCAAATGCACTAAAACCATGTGCAGAAGATAAAATGGAATATTAACGGCATTACAAATTCCTGTTAAAAATGTCTGATTGGTAAGGGCATCTCAAGTAACTTAATTAAAAAGAATAAGAGATTCAAATTACTCGTTTTTTTTTTGCATTTTACTAAGATCTTCGCTGAGACCATTTAGGAGAAAGGAAACTGCAAAGAAATGCATGGTCGGGAGAGTATGGTCCTTTACTTGTTCATTCTTAGCTGCTCCTCTCATTTCTCTGAGCCCTCAGGGCCCTGATTTTCCCTCTGCTGGTGGCAACCGTGTCCTGCCCAATGACACAGTCCTCTATGATGTCCACACCTCCACTGTCAAGAAGCTTGAAAAGGTTCCCTAGTTCTATTTTCCTACTGTACCTTGTAGATGCTTGTGGTTCATTTCTCTCAGGTCTGCTAGTAATGATGTACTCCAGTTTTTAAAAACTATCTTACTGAAGCAAAATCCTGAAATCCTGAAAAAACAAAATCCTGAAAATGCTTTTCCACGAATCTCTCTCTCTCTCTTAGGAGAGAGTATTATAAACAACACGTAACATAATTTTTGAGCAAGTATTGAGAGTGGTTTAAATATGGTCACCAATGGGGACGTAATGCTTAAAGGAAACACAAACAAAATGTAAGAGTTAAGTAAATGCGGCCAGCGGTGCACATGCTGTGCGCCCCCAGGAAACGCACATTCACGCACCAGAGGCTCTGAGAAGGCCTGCAGAGAGAACCGCTCAAATGGCGGCCTCCAAACTTGACTGGCCCCTGACACCTTTACCCCCAATGCCTGTCCCACCTGTGAGAACTATGTCATGGGAAGCAGCTAGGGAAGCTTTTGAAGAATTAATTAAATTTAAGAGTTTAAAATTTTAGCTGCATCCTTATGAATGAATTTCTTCACATTTCTTCTGGAAATTCCTAATACAGTTGACTATATCAATACACCATAGTTAAATATAATTCCTAATGTGGTTGAATATATCATTCACCCACATTATCATTCATCCATGTGGTTGGATAAATGCTACAGTGAAACACAAGAGGTTATGACTTGGAACTTTTTATCAACGAGCATCATAAATTCCCCAGGCTCACAGCAGAGCTGAGCCCTGGTTTTGCTATTAACTCAGAGTGTGACGCCGGATGGAGGGATTTAAAGTCTCAGAGCCTTGATTCACTTACCTGTAAAGGGCGGATAGGCCTGCCCTGCCTACCCCATCCATGTTGAGAATCAAGTGATCAAGATAGAGAGCAAGACTTTTTCATAAAGTGTTATAAAATCATTAAAAGACTTTCAACAAGTATATGAAGTAATACTGTATTCAAATAGAGCAATGGTTTCCTTTTTAGAGACACACTTAACGCTACTGTGATTTCATTTCTCGAACTTTGCTAAGTATCTCATTCCACTTAAAAAAATTTTACTTAGCCATTAACTATCCTAATGGACCACCGAACTTCTTTTCAGAAAACACATGGCGAAAATAAGTTAATGAAATCAGAAAACTTTGTTTAAAGAAGAAAAGATTTGTCGCACGGTGTGTGTGAGCAGGGCCGCCTTAGCCTGGGCTCTGCATTCTTTGAGTCCTTCATTAAACTATTGATCCCTTTAGCATTATTCATAATGTTTCAGCAGCTCAGCACGTCAGCTGGGGAAGTGCTAGTCTCTCACTCCTTTCCATAACTTCCACACTTTACGGAGAGGAAGTCACAATGATTTATTTACCTGACATTTTCCAGTCCGGATGTCGTAAAGGGCCACTGAGCCATTGCGCGCTCCAACAGCGATCCTGTGATTCCGCTCGTAATAGCTGACCATGTAGAACCTGAATCGAACATTTCAACAAAAACAAACAAAAGAAACAAACAAGAAAAACCAGGTGAGATGACCTGCACGTGACAGTGGAGAGCAACACCTTTCAAAGATTAATCTTTCAAAGATTAAAGCCAGCTCTGATACGTATTTTTAAATATGTCTATCTATACTTACTATACTGAGATTTTGCAAAAATGTTTCATTTTAGTAATTCTGAAAACCAACTGAAAGAAAAATGATGCAGAAGGCAATGTAGGCCTGTTAATAATGATTTTTGATGGAAAACAACTTCATAACAACACACACTCTTGAGTTTTGAAATAAAAATAAGGGTCAAATACAAAAATAATTAAATGTGAAAACCAAGTTTTGCTAAAGTGACTATTATGCAAATATTTCTATTTGAACAGAAATACAAAAGAAGAAAAGGCTTACATATTCAATGTAATTATGTTCTCATGGTTTATTATAGTATTTAGAAGTAAAATATACTTTCTAGCAGAATAATCATATACAAACTACATAAAATGTTATGCTTAAGTTCACATCAATAATTTAGAATGAAATTAAAAAATTGTCCACCAGAAAAAAAACTATCTGGAAAATTCCCTACATTTTCCACATTTATCAGTTTATCTAAACGACAGGTGTGACTACAGGTAGTATAAATAAGCATATTTACTGCTTTATTTGGTATTGTATCAAAAAGGATTTAGGGAGGGTAGTCGAAGGTTATAAGAGGTTATTTTTATTTCTTTTTCTTTTTTCCTAGATTAATTTTCATGACTGGATTGAGTATTTGAATTCCTGATATGCTTTGTCATAATGATTTCATGTCCATATGGCAAGAGCCTGGGAAAGTAAGAGTAAAAATTATTAGAAACATAAATAAGGTATGATTTTATATCCCCAAAGAGTTTTGAATATATCTTCCCCTTACCTAGTTCTACTGTCTCAGTGTGAGTTGCGAGAATGAACAAGTGGCCTTCCCTAAATATTTATGGGAATATTGCATCAAGTCTATACACTCCTTGCCTTTTTTAGCTTTGGTTCCGTACTTCCAGAAAACTTGGGCAACTTTTCTGTTATTATTTTTTAAAACACGGGATGGGAAGGTAAAACAGATGACGGAAAAGAACTACCATCCTCTCATGCTTTCTAGAGATTGATATAAAGTAAAAAACTACTGGCGCATGTGCCTACATTTCTGAAATTCTGGAAAGAGAGGCTGAGAGAGACAAAGACAAGATGTTTGAATGTGAGCATTTTGTGAACCTGGGACATTCTGACGAAGCCATTTTGGTATTATTAGACATTATGACATTCATACATAGTTCATAAATCTGGAAAACTATTAGGTTTTTAAACTTTTTGTTTTTTACTTATTACTAAGTAATAGATTCAACAATACTTCTGTCGATTGATGTGTCTTCTTTCTCTTTCGTGGAAGATTAATGCTCCATGTTTAGTCACATGGAAGGTACTGCTTTAGGACGCCCTGCTGGGATCTGCTGGGTGCACGTGTGCATGTCCTCTTGTATAAGGTTTGAGGGAAGGAAGGGTACGGAAGTGTCCTGAGGCATAAAGCTTCCTCTGGTAAGTGGTTAGTGAAATGCTTCCCAAAGCTTTTCCTGTTAAAGCTTCATATCTACCTCACTACAGAAGATAGGGATCAGCTTCCAAAGTGTTTAAAAATGTTTACTGTTTTGCTTTTCAATAATTACAGTGGTCTAAGTATTAAGCATCACCATGCCACTATCTCCATCTCTATCTGTACACACATAAGCACACACAATTTATATCCTGAAAGTAACGTGGAATATAACACCTAGCAGTTGTTTTTAACAAATATTTATTCTGTGCAGTTTAATAGCCATAGGAAAATAAAGTTTCCAGAGCTGTTAAAAAAAAAATCTGTTATTAAGCTTTGCACAGGTATAACAGCTCTATTGCCAAAATCCTTTTGCAAAGCGTGAATGTAATTATCCCTCAAAATAATCCTCTTTCAAAACAACCACTGGTAAAATATATTTATGTTGACAAAATTTTACTTAGTTAAACTAGTATCTAAAAAGTTTCTGTTCCATTGACCATTTTCTATGTCCTGGACATCAACCTCATCCTTCTATGTCACCTGTAAACGCCATTATTAATGGGAGAGAAAAGATCAAATCTTGAGTCTGCCTGGCGGGACCATATCTTACAGGTCTGCATTTTTCATTCTTTGCAATATATTGCTAGACTAATACTTCTAAACAGTATCTTAAAACATTCAGAACAGGAAAATCTATGGCATGTTTTTAAAGTTGGATTTTTTGTTAAACTGTTTATTTCATTAACAGTGTCTCTTTTGACAAGACAAAATAAGTCCATTTTATACACAGGTGCTTCACGAGGATCCACCCTGGGGCCTGGCTGCAGTGAGCCCCTGTCTCTGCTGAGGTTTCCGGAGCCACCACACCCTAGGCTACTCTTCTCCACTGGCGGACAGGCTATCAAGATTATGGACGGTGAGATGTGTATTACTTACTCCCACCCCCCAAATTATCAATGGATTGAAGAGGAGGATCCAATTCAGTTTTTAAGACTACTTTAGTGTTGACTGGATCTTACAGGAAGTCTCAAATTCCTCCCGAATTGGGGAGGTAATGTTCAGAGAAGGGGTTCGTGTGTGCTGAGCCTCCTGGAAATGGTCTCTCAGTCTCTCATTTGCTGCATTGATAACATGTCGTTTGGGCAGTATTTCTTGGGCAACAGCCTGGCAAGAATCCTTGTGTTACATTCAAGTTAGAACGATGGTTCTCCTCCACTCAGCCCTCCACAAGGAAGCTCTGTTAAGCCAGACAGAACATTACCATTCCCGTATGAGGAAGAACAAAGTGGAGCTGCGCAATGCTGCCAAATGGGGTTAGGGTGCTCTTCACCCACAAAATTTAAAGTCGTTGGTCTACACATATTCATTGCTGCCTACCTGCATCCAGAGTGATGCTTTTAACTATAAATCAAATCACCTCTCTCTTACGCTCACAGTCATCCTACAAAACCCTACCTCATACGGCCCCAACACTTCACAGACCATCCCCTCTTGCCTTTGCACACTCTGCTCTAGACATGCTGATCTCCTAGTGTTTTCCTGACGACGCCAAGAGTGCTCCCATGGTGGGACTTAACACTTGCTGTTCCCTCTGCTTGGAAATCTCATCTTCCAATATCTCTTTGGCTCAGGCCCTCTCTTCATTTAGATCTCTGTTCCCAAGTTGTCTCGATAAAAGGGGCCCTTGTGGGCCATCCTGCTTAATACAGCAGCCCTTCCTCTATTATTATAATCCAACATCCTGCTTTTCTTTATTAAAATACCTATCATCGCTGAGATATTAAACAAAATTTTTTTGTTCATTGCTTGTTTCCTTCCACTGAAACTTTCTCCTTGGTTTCAATGTGTGAATATATAAATATGGTCCAAGTAAGCAGGATACAGCATTCAAGTGTAATTCATACGACTACACTTACCTTTCCATGATGAGTGCATAAGCATATTGAATTTTAAGACTGGTGAATAATTGAGATGGACCACAAAGAAAATGAAACTGTGCAAAAAAGTGAGGCAGGAATCAAGAAACAGAACTTGCCCTTGACCCTTCTAAAAATGTTTTCAATTGAGACGAAGAATTCCAGCTTTATAAAAACTTATCTGTAAAGGCCCCTGAAGGCTGGGTATGTAGCGTGAGACTGAGAGTTGCATAATTGAAACAACTGAATTCTAGGGAACTAGAAAATATTATTTAGGCAGAAACTCAAAACAGTAAATGCAGTCAAAAAATGATCTGTGCAATAAAGTACATATTTTCCCGGTATAAATGTGGTCCTTGGAATAAAAATTATTCTAAGAATTTGCCAGATATTTAAAACAAACTATAGAAATGATCCCTGAAAGTAGAGTCTTTGAACTTGCCAGATGTTTATATCACCACATGCAAATGTCAAAGAACATGATATTATCACATGAAAAGTAATTAAAAGAAATATTCACTTATCAGTCATTATTGAAGACTGGAGTAGGTTCCTGTATGGCTCCAAAGCCAGATTTGTGACTCCAGCTCTGCAGAAGGAGCTCACCGTGTGGGTGGGTTTTGACGCGAAACGCAAGTGTGAATTGAGTCCACTCTGACGCAGGAGCCTGATGCAGATCACGCTGCCTGAGAGTTTGCCAAGTGCCCAATTCCTGAGTCTCTACATAACTTTGGCACTTTCTATTTATACTCTCCCTTGAACTGATGACCTTTTAAAACCTTGATTAAAAACTGCCTTCAAGAGAAAATTTCTGTGAAATTTACAAGTTATTTTGGAAAAATAGAGTTAAAGGAAACATGCAACTCTCAGCAGAAATATGATTTAGGAGAAAGAGGCCTGTAAGGCACTTCCGTGACTGTGAGTCTGGTAACCTGCAGTGGCCTCGGGATGGTGAGCTACAGGAAACACTCTCCAGCTAATCCAACGTTAACCTCCAGCTTCACATGGAACGGTCTAAAATCTAGGGATGTAGGGAATAAGATGTATGAATTATAACTATTTACAACTTGTAACTATGTACAACTCACTAACTACAACTACTTGCAGCTAATACTTACTGGGTACTGACCCGGTATCAGGCACCATTCTAAGTACTTGTATATGTATTTTCATAGGTAACTCAGGGAGCAGTTCTTGAGTTGCCTTTAGAATTTCTTCATGTTGACTTAAAATGGTTCACAAACTTTCGGTTCTTTTTGTTAAAAACGTATTAAGGCACTATGTGCTTGCAAAGAAGTCAGCCACCACCAACACGTATCCTGTAGAAAGTCAGTCTTATTTCTCATGTACCCTCCTTCACCAAGGGTTAACTACCTTTAGCAATTTGGTGGACCTTTCTAGAGCATTCTCTGATTTTTGTATCAAAGAAGGAGTGCTATTACGCGTATTATTCTGCAGGGTACTTTTCTCGGAACATCCTCCCAGGTCAGTGTCTACAAG